CAAATGTTCAGTGGCTACCATGTACCTAGTTAGCGATAATTGTTTTAAAAAAATTAAAAATATATTTAACATTATTTCCTTGATTCCAGTAAATCTGTTAATGTTTTTTTTTTTTTTCAAATTATAGAAATATTTAATTAAAATACAAATTAACTTTTACCAAATAACAAAGGTTTAATTAAGTAATATTTTCATTATAAATATTATTTTATTTATAGGGGGGTATACTTATGTATAAACAAAACATTTCCCCCTATGGTTTTTTATATATTTAAATTGTTTATTAATAAATTAAAAAAGGCAATATTGTATAATAAAAAAAAAACTTTCATTTTATAGTATACGTACAATTGGGACGAACGACGAATTTTTCGGAACGAATATTCGTCGTCAGAAATAGAACACACTTGGGTATATGAAAATGTACACAATCATTGCGTATGACGAAATTCGTCGTACGTAACGAACTATGCGATAGGTTTATTTCTATTTCTTACGCAGACGAACGACGAATTAATTGGGGAAAATTGTTTTAAAACCAATTCCGGTAGCCCGAATTCGCAGTACGAATAATTTGATTGTGTTCCATTCGACGAATTTACGCAACGAATTTTTGTCGACTAGTTCGTCGTGCTATACGAAATTCGTCGTTCGTCCCAATTGTGCGTATACCGTTAATTTGAGTTATTTAAACAATTTCTATTAGTTGTTAATTACAAATATGTTATTACTTAATACAAATCATTATGACAATGGCCCCTGATATAAAAAATATTAGAATACTATAGTATTAATAAGATACAAAAAGTTCGTTGCTCTTTTAAAACAATTGCAAGTTTACAAGTATCATATGGTTTCTATCATTTATTTAAATTTTGTTTTGAAATATTTTTTATATATGGCATATGATGGAATTTTATGGTTTAGCCTATGTTCATAGGGTAATTATAAAAGATCTAAAAGTATATATAATAAAATCTTTTGTTAAGCTCATATAGCTTTAGAATAGTTTTAATATTTTCAAAAACACTTTGGTTTACAACACTTCTTCTTTACAGACAATTAAACTAACACATTTTAGGCGTTTTCTCTTAAAAAAACATCCTACATACAATTTTGTGTATAATTACTGTAGTTTAATTGCTTTTGGCATATTAGCATGTTTAATAGTTAGAGGCAAAAATAAAATAAAAATCTTCTTCTTTTAAATGCGGGTTAATTATATTACACATATACACATGCCACTAGCTAGTAAATTGCATTGAACTCATTTTATAAAATTAATCAACTTATGCCCTTATTAACTAAAGCGTACTTGAATATTGTTATTGTTTAAAAAAAATAAAGATCTTTTAATGACCTTAACAACAACAATATTTATATATATATAAATTATTAATATTTTGTTTATTGCTGCTGCTGCTGTTGCTGCTTTGTCGTCTTCTGAAATTATCTTATCTTTTTTGTATAGAATGAACTTTTTTTTTTCCCCAATTGATAACATATTTAAAACATTTGTATGGGAAGTTGTTGGTTCTTGTTTAAGACCATAAAATACAATATTTGATTACATAGAGAAAAGCAATTCATTATTATAGTTTTTTTGTTATTATTATTATTATTGCTGTTATTGATCTAATCAGAGGTTTCTTATATACAAATAATATAGATTTTTATACCCTACACCTATACTATAGGGTATTATGTGTTGGTACTGATGTTTGTAACAACCAAAAATATTGTCCCTTCACCCACCTTAAAGTATACCAATCGGCTCGGAATCAATTTCTGACTCTATTGAGCAATGTCTGTCTGTCTATGTCTGTTCGTCCATCTACAGGTTAAAATTTTCAAGATAATTTGATGAAAATTGGCACATATTCTTCAAGGATGAAGCATATTGCAGCCCCAATACAAACGAACCCCCCGAATAGGTCTATTCTTGTATCACTTTATGTCCCTATGTGGCCTCCGGTAGGTTAGTGGTTAGTGTTCTAGTCTGGTGGACCGGAGGTGGTGGGTTCGATTCCCACCTGAGGCACTGGTTAAGGAGCCCACAACAGGCCCGATAGAGGCCTAGGGGTATTTCTTCGGATTGGAGGAGAGACATCCTCCTTGCAACGAACGAACGAACGAACGAACTAACGAACGAACGAACGAACGAAGAACGAACGAAGAACGAACGACGAACGAACGAACGAACGAACGAACGAACGAACGAACGAACGAAGAACGAACGAACGAACGAACGAACGAACGAACGAACGAAAACGAACGAACGAACGAACGAACGAACGAACGAACGAACGAACGAACGAACGAAGAACGAAGAACGAACGAACGAACGAACGAAAACGAACGAACGAACGAACGAAACGAACGAACGAACGAACGAACAAGAACGAACGAACGAACGAACGAACGAACGAACGAACGAACGAACGAACGAACGAAAACGAACGAACGAAACGAACGAACGAACGAACTAACGAACGAACTAACGAACTAACTAACGAACGAACGAACTAACTAACTAACTAACAACGAACGAACTAACTAACGAACTAACGAACGAACTAACTAACGAACGAACTAACTAACGAACAACTAAACTAACTAACTACTAATCTAACTAAATTAACGAACTAACTAACTAACTAACTAAGAACAACTAAACTAACTAACTAACTAACTAACTAACTAACTAACTAACTAACTAACTAACTAACTAACTAACTAAACGAACAACTAACTAAACTCACTAACTAACTAACTAACTTAATACTAACTAACTAACTAACTAACTACAACTAACTAACCTAACTAACTGACTAACTAACTATGTCCCATACATAGTTCCCCTATAAAAAATTTACTTATAAAGACTAATATCACGATGATATTCTGCATAAATAAGTTAATGTAGACTTAAATCCCTCTATCAAAATGTATAAATATAGGCCCATATAACACCCTGCCCCGCTATCGCCATTTATCATTTCAATATTTTCCCTTTTCACTTTTTTCGTTCACTAATTTTTTGGTCGTGAAAAATATTCCCCTGTTATGAAATTTGTGATGGAATTTTGTAAACATGAACAGCTGTTGCATACCAAAACAACTATTGTGAATGAATTGTTCACAACAAGTTCACGATAGCAATTTTCCCTTCAAGGAGAATGAAAATTTCAAGAAAACAAAAATTTCACTTCTATTGGCGGCGATACGGGTGAATATATTTCTGAATTAAGGTAAACACGAAATAAAATGCTTTATTATTAAAAAAAAATAAACAACATTTTTAATATACATAATTACTGGTGTAGGGTATCATATGGTCGGTCATGCCCGACTATAAATTCTTACTTGTTTTTTTATATATTTCTGAACAACAAACTTTGATTTATTTGTTTGAAACGAAATCATTAGTGCAATCGTTAAATTACACAGGACAACAAAAGTCGAAAAAGTCAAAACCCAGAGAGCAAGAAAAACTTTTCTAAAGGATACCTCTGAAGTCTTCAAAATATGATGTGCTAAATCTTGAAAACCCCCCCTTTTTTCGACCAATCTTTGAAACCGTATAACAGGCGTGAAGACATCTTTATTTATAAAATTTTTTATGTCAACTTAAAGTCCAATGACTCAGGTCTTCAAGATATCATGTGTTAAATTTTGAAAAACCCGCGTGTTTTGATCATTCATTGACACCGTATAACAGCGTGAAGGAAACTTTATTTATACAAATTTCAATGCCATCTTAAAGTCCATCTTTAAAGTCGAGAGATTGGACTTTTAGTGTTCTAGCTCCAGATATGTACATATATAGCTAATCTGACAATTTATATCCAAAATATTTACATGAATAGTTTAATAGTTTTAAAGATATACAAATTTTTGCATTTAATTCGTTTGGGAGCTGCCACGCCCCGTATTGCTAGTATTGCCATATATTCTCTAAAATTTTCATAATCATTTCAATGTTTCTCTTGCCAAATTTAAGGATTCTAGTCCCTATAGTTTCCCAGATATACGATTTTTATTTAATACATATGCCACGCCCCCTAGCTCGGCCATTTTATTTAGATACATTGATTTCATATTTTCATTATATGGAAAGTGCCACGCCCACTATAGATAGTCCGTTCATATGAAAGTTGTTTATATAAAATTTGAGGACTCAAACTAATTAGAGGTATTGGGTATAGCCCGATCTGTGCCAGAATGACGTCCCTTTTCCTAGGGCTACTTTTTCGGCATTCTTGTGTCAATGGCTAACTGCCTAGTGAAGGAAAATAGACTTTAGGAGGTTCAGTTTAGTTAACCACTAACATTCTGCAGAAACTAGATCAAGGGATGGTACAGATCTTTGAAGACTGAACTGTTAAGCTAAATTGCCAAGTTCTAAACTTAAGTTTCAGCTCTCCAAATCATCTATACATCTTCTCCATTTGTTCTTATTTATCAAGGAGCTTTTCGATCATTGGCAAAGATACAAGCCGATGCATAATGAACGGCGGCGCAATCATTTTTGGTCGGCGGTGGCTGCTTGTAATAGAAATTACCGGCGGCAGCTTAATTGTCGTATAAACTAAACTTTTTCTTTAGAAAATTGTTCTTATAAGCGTTTGTTATATAGAAAACTCTCTGCATGATAGTTTATTTATAGCAATCTTACTCTATATAAGTTTTCTCTGCAAAAAATTGGTTAAGTTAGTTTTATGAAGACCCCGATTATTGGGTCAATTTTAGATATCACCAAAAATTCAATATTTTATAACAATTTAAGTAAATTCAAATTAAAACGTTACTGTATATTCTTCAAAGTACATTTTCAAATTTCACTACAAATTAAAAATCTTCCTTATCTATATAATAACTTTTAATATAAAATCTATTAATTTACAATTCCGAAACGAATCAATTAAACTACCAACTAAATTAATCTCAATCCTCGCTAATTAACATTCTCATCTATTTTACTTTCATTAATTTTATAGAACACAAATTAGTAATGGTCGGTTTAGATAATGCTGGCAAAACCACAATACTCTATCAATTTCTTATGAATGAAGTCGTCCACACATCGCCCACAATTGGCTCAAATGTCGAAGAGGTTGTGTGGCGAAATATACATTTTCTTGTGTGGGATTTGGGAGGACAACAGAGTCTGAGAGCAGCATGGAGTACATATTATACAAATACAGAGGTGGGTTAAATTAATTTCTTGTATAACGTGAATTTCTTTTTATTATTTTAATAATATTTTTGTATGTTTTCCCGTTTAGTTCATTATTATGGTTATCGACTCAACAGATCGTGAACGTTTGGCTGTGACACGTGAAGAATTATATAGAATGTTGCAACACGAAGACTTGAGTAAAGCCAGTCTGCTGGTGTATGCCAATAAACAGGTTAGTGGGATTGAAATTGTGTTGGAATTTATAAGAAATTTTTGAATTTGTTTACTTATTGTTTTTGCTGTTGTTAATGTTTTGTAATATTTTGTTGTTTGTTTTATGTTTGTAGGACTTAAAAGGCTCAATGTCAGCTGCTGAAATATCACGTCAATTGGATTTAACCTCAATTAAAAAACATCAATGGCACATACAAGGCTGCTGTGCGTTAACGGGAGAAGGGTGAGTTTGGGATTTTTTTAATTTAAAAATAATAATAAATATTATTTTCGAAGTTGAGAAGTGTCTATTTTCACCTCAAGAATAGTGGAATATACCCACCTCAAAATTGATCTCTACTAATCTAACCTGATCTGAAAACTTCAAGTTCAGTTCTAATTCTAGTTTTCTAGTTCATGATCTAGTTTAGTTCTAGTTTAGTTCTAGTTTAGTTCTAGTTGAGTTCTAGTTGAGTTCTAGTTCAGTTCTAGTTCAGTTCTAGTTCAGTTCTAGTTCAGTTCTAGTTCAGTTCTAGTTCAGTTCTAGTTCAGTTCTAGTTCAGTTCTAGTTCAGTTCTAGTTCAGTTCTAGTTCAGTTCTAGTTCAGTTCTAGTTCAGTTCTAGTTCAGTTCTAGTTCAGTTCTAGTTCAGTTCTAGTTCAGTTCTAGTTCAGTTCTAGTTCAGTTCTAGTTGAGTTCTAGTTCAGTTCTAGTTCAGTTCTAGTTCAGTTCTGGTTCAGTTCTAGTTCAGTTCCAGTTCAGTTCTAGTTCAGTTCTAGTTCAGTTCTAGTTCAGTTCTAGTTCAGTTCTAGTTCAGTTCTAGTTTCAGTTCTAGTTCAGTTCTAGTTCAGTTCTAGTTCAGTTCTAGTTCAGTTCTAGTTCAGTTCTAGTTCAGTTCTAGTTCAGTTCTAGTTCAGTTCTAGTTCAGTTCTAGTTCAGTTCTAGTTCAGTTCTAGTTCAGTTCTAGTTCAGTTCTAGTTCAGTTCTAGTTTCAGTTCTAGTTCAGTTCTAGTTCAGTTCTAGTTCAGTTCTAGTTCAGTTCTAGTTCTAGTTCAGTTCTAGTTCAGTTCTAGTTCAGTTCTAGTTCAGTTCTAGTTCAGTTCTAGTTCAGTTCTAGTTCAGTTCTAGTTCAGTTCTAGTTCAGTTCTAGTTCAGTTCTAGTTCAGTTCTAGTTCAGTTCTAGTTCAGTTCTAGTTCAGTTCTAGTTCAGTTCTAGTTCAGTTCTAGTTCAGTTCTAGTTCAGTTCTAGTTCAGTTCTAGTTCAGTTCTAGTTCAGCGGTTCTAGTTCAGTTCTAGTTCGGTTCTAGTTCAGTTAGTTAGTCTAGTTGAGTTCTAGTTGAGTTCTAGTTTAGTCCAGTTGTAGTTCAGTTCCAGTTCAGTTCTAGTTCAGTTCCAGTTCCAGTTCAGTTCTAGTTCAGTTCTAGTTCAGTTCTGTTCTAGTTCTGTTCTAGTTCAGTTCCAGTTCCAGTTCAGTTCTAGTTCAGTTCTAGTTCAGTTCTAGTTCAGTTCAGTTCTGTTCTAGTTCTGTTCTAGTTCTGTTCTAGTTCTGTTCTAGTTCAGTTCTAGTTCAGTTCTAGTTCAGTTCTAGTTCAGTTCTAGTTCAGTTTTAGTTCAGTTTTAGTTCAGTTCTAGTTCAGATCTAGTTCAGTTCTAGTTCAGTTTTAGTTCAGTTCTAGTTCAGTTATATTTCTAGTTCAGTTCTAGTTCAGTTCTAGTCCAGTTCTAGTTCAGTTCAAATTCAGTTCTAGTTCAGTTCTAGTTCAGTTCTAGTTCAGTTCTAGTTCAGTTCGAGTTCAGTTCTAGTTCAGTTCTAGTTCAGTTCTAGTTCAGTTCTAGTTCAGTTCTAGTTCAGTTCTAGTTCAGTTCTAGTTCAGTTCTAGTTCAGTTCTAGTTCAGTTCTAGTTCAGTTCTAGTTCAGTTCTAGTTCAGTTCTAGTTCAGTTCTAGTTCAGTTCTAGTTCAGTTCTAGTTCAGTTCTAGTTCAGTTCTAGTTCAGTTCTAGTTCAGTTCTAGTTCAGTTCTAGTTCAGTTCTAGTTCAGTTCTGGTTCAGTTTTTAGTTCTGTTCTGGTTTAGTTCTAGTTCAGTTCTAGTTTAGTTCTACAGAAGTTCTAGTTCAGTTTTAGTTCAGTTCTAGTTCAATTTTAGTTCTGTTCCACTTTAGTTCTACATTTTAATTTTTCTTAAAAGCAAATTGTAATTTCGAGTAATCAGATTATAACTTCTAAATTTAAAAATATCTGTTTTTCGTGTATTAACGATAAAGGCAATAACTTTATTATCTGAAGCTAAAAATACATTTAGATTTAGATATTATAAACAATCCACCTAAACATGATATCTAACTAAGATTTCAGCAATAATAAAACTTTTATTATATTTTTAATAAGATTGTAAAAAAATTTTAGTTATATTAAAATACCTCACGGTATTTTGACTTCATTTATTTATGTATTTTTACTTTTTTGCAATATTTTTTTAATTTCCCTTTTCTTGCTATTTTACAGACTCTATCAGGGTTTGGAATGGATTGTTCAACGCATCAAAAAGAAATGACATACTCAAATGGACTGCGATAGTAGTTTATAGTTAAATCAATAATTAAATTACTATTTATATATTATTAAACAACAAAAACATTTATAATAATTTTATATATATACAAAAGATAAAAAAAACCAACAATGAAGAAAAACAATTTAATTATTTGTAAGTAAATGTAATTTGTAAATCTTAAACATAAAAAAAACACACACACACATTTTAAAGCAGCCTCCCCTCTTAAAGTTTTATATTTATAAAGTACTCCATTATGAATTAAACTAATAAATTATATAAATTAAAAAAAAAGGATTTATTTTGTAATCCTTTAAAAAAACTGAAAATTTAGTAGAAATCAAAAGGGAAAGATTTTTAAAAAGTCAAACAGGCAAAAGATAGAACTTTAAAATTAACTTTTAATTCGATTTTTTAAAACAAAGTGTTTTTTTGTTTAATTAATATTGAAGAGAAGTTAGATTTTCCCTTTTGTCTTTTATTCTTCTCAACAGTTTTAGAATTGTATAATTTATAGATTTATTTTATTATTTTTAGTTTAAGTATTCTAATTTAAAAGATTTTTGAAAAAATTAAAAAAAAACTGTAAATTAACTAAAAGAACTTTAGAAAAATATAAATACTTAATGAGAATTTAAAGAAATGTAAGTTATTCATTGACGACAGGCGCCTTTTTTATTCAAACAACTAATTTACCAAAGCGCATTGTATGTTTTTTTTAACACATATAAGTTTATACTCTTATTATTTAAATAATTTAATTTGTTTTTGTTTTAATTGCTCTTATATTTTTAAAAAATAACAAAAAAAAAAAAAAAGAAATAATTTAACTCTATAATAAATAAAAATTTTATAAGAATTTCTTTAACAAATCGAAAGAAAAAAATTCTATAATGTACAATTAATGTGTGCTCTTAAAGAAATTGTTTTTATGGAAAAAAATTAAATTTAATTAGTAAAATATATTTTTTAAGTTTTAAAATAAAAAGTAAAAAATTAAAAAAAAATTTTTTGGTTTTTAATTTTTGTTGAAATTTTTTCTTTGTCAGTTTGGTTTTTATGTTTTGTTAATTTAAAGTTTTTGATAAAAAAAATTGTAAAAAGAAAATTAAGAATTATACATTTAATGCATACAAAATTCGAAATATTTGCCAAAACTCAAAAAACAGTAATGAACAAGAAAAATAAAATAAACTTGTATTTGTAAAGCTAAATAATAATAATAATTATAAATAATTAATAAATAAATATTATATATAAAAATATTAAAAATAAAGTTTTAATTCAATTATTTTATTTTAAAATAATTCAGTTCATTATTTTATTAAAAAATACTTCAGTTCTAATTCAGTTCTAGTTCAGTTCTAGTTCAGTTCTAGTTCAGTTCTAGTTCAGTTCTAGTTCAGTTCTAGTTCAGTTCTAGTTCAGTTCTAGTTCAGTTCTAGTTCAGTTCTAGTTCAGTACTAGTTCAGTTCTAGTTCAGTTCTAGTTCAGTTCTAGTTCAGTTCTAGTTCAGTTCTAGTTCAGTTCTAGTTCAGTTCTAGTTCAGTTCTAGTTCAGTTCTAGTTCAGTTCTAGTTCAGTTCTAGTTCAGTTCTAGTTCAGTTCTAGTTCAGTTGTAGTTCAGTTCTATATCAGTACTAGTTCAGTTCTAGTTCAGGTCTAGTTCAGTTGTAGATCAGTTCTAGTTCAGTTCTAGTTCAGTTCTAGTTCAGTTCTAGTTCAGTTCTAGTTCAGTTCTAGTTCAGTTCTAATTCAGTTCTAGTTCAGTTCTAGTTCAGTTCTAGTTCAATTCTAGTTCAGTTCTAGTTCAGTTCTAGCTTCAGTTCTAGTTCAGTTCTAGTTCAGTTTCTAGTTCAGTTTCTAATTCAGTTCTAGTTCAGTTCTAGTTCAGTCCTAGTTCAGTTCTAGTTCAGTTCAGTTCTAGTTCAGTTCTAGTTCAGTTCTAGTTCAGTTCTAGTTCAGTTCTAGTTCAGTTCTAGTTCAGTTCTAGTTCAGTTCTAGTTCAGTTCTAGTTCAGTTCTAGTTCAGTTCTATTCAGTTCTAGTTCAGTTCTAGTTCAGTTCTAGTTCAGTTCTAGTTCAGTTCTAGTTCAGTTCTAGTTCAGTTCTAGTTCAGTTCTAGTTCAGTCTTGTTCAGTTTCTCAGTATTGTCAGTTCTAGTCAGTCTAGTTCAGTAGTTCAGTTAGTTCAGTTCTAGTTCAGTTCTAGTTCAGTTCTAGTTCAGTTCTAGTTCAGTTCTAGTTCAGTTCTAGTTCAGTTCTAGTTCAGTTCTAGTTCAGTTCTAGTTCAGTTCTAGTTTAGTTCTAGTTCAGTTCTACTGCAGTTCTAATTCAGTTCTACTGCAGTTCTAGTTCAGTTGTTGTTCAGTTTTATTTCAGTTCTTGTTCCGTCTATCATATCTGACTGTTGATTCAAAATGAAAAATGTATAAATCATATTTCTTAACCACTGTGCATTTATCAATACTTGCAATACTTTTTGGTATATTTGTTAATTAATACATTTAAAAATAATTTATTGATCAGGGGAATTACTTTATAAACTAAACACTTAATGAAAGTAAAACAGGATTACAATAACAAAACTGTAAACTAAACTAATATTTGCAAAATTTTCCATTAAAGGTATTATTAAAAACAAGAGAAATTTATTAAATTAGTTTAAAGTTTAAACTAAAACGTTAAAATGTAAATCCCCTTAAATTTTACAACAAATTGACTTTGTAAGGAATACAATTTTTAAAAACACACGCAACAAATTCTCTAAGCAAAATATCTATTTTCCTAAAAATCTGGTTTCTTCCAGAGATATGTATATATTGTAGTACAAATTAAAAGCTTTTGTAAAAAAGCTCTTTTCTTGTACTCAGCTCTACTCTCTTACCGATCTTTAGCAAATAAATAAACAGCAGCAACTAAACGGAATGACAAGTTTAGTATTAAAAGTGCATAGAGATTATCAACAACTTAAATTGATTTTAATAAAATTTGCCAGAAGTAAAATGTCTACAACAAACAATAATCAATTAATTAATCAAACCGTGGTCACAGCTATGGGAGCTCACATTTTGCCAACAACATCCCATTCATCATACGATCTCAAATTGCAATTTAATGAAAGTGTTCCTAGTGCTCCTGATCAACAGCTTAAGTTTGAAATTGAGAATAAAGTAAAGAATAAAGAATTCTTTTATGGCATAGAAATCTTGGCTAGAAATCATCATGCCAACACTTTATTGGATTATAAAGCATTTGGTTCTCTTATGCCTTTATTTACCTCCATAGTTTGGTTAAGTTCTGATTACTGGTCCGTAGAGAATCTTGAAGAAGTAGAGTCAATAAAATTGGCGCGTAAATTACAGCCTCATGGCATAGTGCTGCCACATTTCTCATGCTATCGTTTGCATGAGGCCAGATTAAAAGAATTTTTAAATTTAAATTTCTCTAATGTTTTGGCCGTACGTGGAGATTTTTTCGAACCAAATCAAATGTATAATATTCAGAGGAATTAGTGGCTAATATACGTAAATTTAGAGGAGGTGAGAAGGGAGTATTACTACTGTATTATTTGTAAACATATTGTCAATCTGATAAGAAATTAAAGTAAACAATTAACACGAGTAATTTAAAATAAAAACTATTGTCTAGTGCAATGTTATAAAATTGTAATTTGATAAGTTTGTTGATTCTGGGAATTAAATGTATGTATTGTTTTTCTATTTAGATTCTATAACAATTGGAGTTGGTGGTTATCCAGAAGGCCATCCTGAATGCCTTTCAATAGAAGATGACTTGAATAATTTGGCGAAAAAGTAAGAATTGGAAAAATTTACATAAAAAATAAAGAAGATAACGAAATTTTGGCTCCTTACAATCTAGTTATGTTCAATCTTTGTTCAGTTCTAGTTCTGGTTAAGTTCTAGTTCAGTTCTAGTTCAGTTGTAGTTCAGTTCTATATCAGTACTAGTTCAGTTCTAGTTCAGGTCTTTCAGTTGTAGATCAGTTCTAGTTCAGTTCTAGTTCAGTTCTAGTTCAGTTCTAGTTCAGTTCTAGTTCAGTTCTAGTTCAGTTCTAGTTCAGTTCTAGTTCAGTTCTAGTTCAGTTCTAGTTCAGTTCTAGTTCAGTTCTAGTTCAGTTCTAGTTCAGTTCTAGTTCAGTTCTCGTTCAGTTCGTTCAGTTCTAGTTCAGTTCTAGTTCAGTTCTAGTTCAGTTCTAGTTCAGTTCTAGTTCAGTTCTAGTTCAGTTCTAATTCAGTTCTAGTTCAGTTCTAGTTCAGTTCTAGTTCAGTTCTAGTTCAGTTCTAGTTCAGTTCTAGTTCAGTTCTAGTTCAGTTCTAGTTCAGTTCTAGTTCAGTTCTAGTTCAGTTCTAGTTCAGATCTAGTTCAGTTCTAGTTCAGTTCTACTTCAGTTCTAGTTCAGTTCTAGTTCAGTTCAGTTCAGTTCTAGTTCAGTTCTAGTTCAGTCTAGTTCTAGTTCAGTTCTAGTTCAGTTCTAGTTCAGTTCTAGTTCAGTTCTAGTTCAGTTCTAGTTCAGTTCTAGTTCAGTTCTAGTTCAGTTCTAGTTCAGTTCTAGTTCAGTTCTAGTTCAGTTCTAGTTCAGTTCAAGTTCAGTTCTAGTTCAGTTCTAGTTCAGTTCTAGTTCAGTTCAAGTTCAGTTTAGTTCAGTAGTCAGTTCTAGTTCAGTTCAAGGTCAGTTCTAGTTCAGTTCTAGTTCAGTTAGTTCAGTTCTAGTTCAGTTCTATTTCAGTTCTATTTCAGTTTAGTTCAGTTCTAGTTCAGTTCTAGTCAGTTCTAGTTCAGTTCTATTTCAGTTCCAGTTCAGTTCTAGTTCAGTTCTAGTTCAGTTCTAGTTCAGTTCTAGTTCAGTTCTAGTTCAGTTCTAGTTCAGTTCTAGTTCAGTTCTAGTTCAGTTCTAGTTCAGTTCTAGTTCAGTTCTAGTTCAGTTCTAGTTCAGTTCTAGTTCAGTTCTAGTTCAGTTCTAGTTCAGTTCTAGTTCAGTTCAAGGTCAGTTCTAGTTCAGTTCTAGTTCAGTTCTAGTTCAGTTCTAGTTCAGTTCTAGTTCAGTTCTAGTTCAGTTCTAGTTCAGTTCTAGTTCAGTTCTAGTTCAGTTCTAGTTCAGTTCTAGTTCAGTTCTAGTTCAGTTCTAGTTCAGTTCTAGTTCAGTTCTAGTTCAGTTCTAGTTCAGTTCTAGTCAGTTCTAGTTCAGTTCTAGTTCAGTTCTAGTTCAGTTCTAGTTCAGTTCTAGTTCAGTTCTAGTTCAGTTCTAGTTCAGTTCTAGTTCAGTTCTAGTTCAGTTCTAGTTCAGTTCTAGTTCAGTTCTAGTTCAGTTCTAGTTCAGTTCTAGTTCAGTTCTAGTTCAGTTCTAGTTCAGTTCTAGTTCAGTTCTAGTTCAGTTCTAGTTCAGTTCTAGTTCAGTTCTAGTTCAGTTCTAGTTCAGTTCTAGTTCAGTTTAGTTCTAGTTCAGTTCTAGTTCAGTTCTAGTTCAGTTCTAGTTCAGTTCTAGTTCAGTTCTAGTTCAGTTCTAGTTCAGTTCTAGTTCAGTCTAGTTCAGTTCTAGTTCAGTTCTAGTTCAGTTCTAGTTCAGTTCTAGTTCAGTTCTAGTTCAGTTCTAGTTCAGTTCTAGTTCAGTTCTAGTTCGTTCTAGTTCAGTTCTAGTTCAGTTCTAGTTCAGTTCTAGTTCAGTTCTAGTTCAGTTCTAGTTCAGTTCTAGTTCAGTTCTAGTTCAGTTCTAGTTCAGTTCTAGTTCAGTTCTAGTTCAGTTCTAGTTCAGTTCTAGTTCAGTTCTAGTTCAGTTCTAGTTCAGTTCTAGTTCAGTTCAGTTCAGTTCTAGTTCAGTTTCTAGTCAGTTCTAGTTCAGTTCTAGTTCAGTTCTAGTTCAGTTCTAGTCAGTTCTAGTTCAGTTCTAGTTTCAGTTCTAGTTCAGTTCTAGTTCAGTTCAGTAGTTCAGTTCTAGTTCAGTTCTAGTTCAGTTCTAGTTCAGTTCTAGTTCAGTTCTAGTTCCAGTTCTAGTTTCAGTTCAGTTCAGTTCTAGTCAGTTCTAGTTCAGTTCTAGTTCAGTTCTAGTCAGTTCCGTTCGTTTAGTTCAGTTCTAGTTCAGTTCTAGTTCAGTTCTAGTTCAGTTCTAGTTCAGTTCTAGTTCAGTTCTAGTTCAGTTCTAGTCAGTTCTAGTTCAGTTCTAGTTCAGTTCTAGTTCAGTTCTAGTTCAGTTCTAGTTCAGTTCTAGTTCAGTTCAGTTCAGTTCTAGTTCAGTTCTAGTTCAGTTCTAGTTCAGTTCTAGTTCAGTTCTAGTTCAGTTCTAGTTCAGTTCTAGTCAGTTCTAGTTCAATTCTAGTTCAGTTCTAGTTCAGTTCTAGTTCAGTTCTAGTTCAGTTCTAGTTCAGTTCTAGTTTAGTTCTAGTTCAGTTCTAGTTCAGTTTAGTTTTCTAGTTCAGTTCTAGTTCAGTTCTAGTTCAGTTCTAGTTCAGTTCTAGTTCAGTTCTAGTTCAGTTCTAGTTCAGTTCTAGTTAGTTCAGTTCTAGTTCAGTTCTAGTTCAGTTCTAGTTCAGTTCTAGTTCAGTTCTAGTTCAGTTCTAGTTCTAGTTCTAGTTCTAGTTCAGTTCTAGTTCTAGTCAGTTCTAGTTCAGTTCTAGTTCAGTTCTAGTTCAGTTCTAGTTCAGTTCTAGTTCAGTTCTAGTTCAGTTCTAGTTCAGTTCTAGTTCAGTTCTAGTTCAGTTCTAGTTCAGTTCTAGTTCAGTTCTAGTTCAGTTCTAGTTCAGTTCTAGTTCAGATCTAGTTCAGTTCTAGTTCAGTTCTAGTTCAGTTCTAGTTCAGTTCTAGTTCAGTTCTAGTTTAGTTCTAGTTCAGTTCTAGTTCAGTTCTAGTTCAGTTCTAGTTCAGTTCTAGTTCAGTTCTAGTTCAGTTCTAGTTCAGTTCTAGTTCAGTTCTAGTTCAGTTCTAGTTCAGTTCTAGTTCAGTTCTAGTTCAGTCTAGTTCAGTTCAAGTTCAGTTCTAGTTCAGTTCTAGTTCAGTTCAAGGTCAGTTCTAGTTCAGTTCTAGTTCAGTTTCTAGTTCAGTTCTAGTTCAGTTCTATTCAGTTCTATTTCAGTTCTAGTTCAGTTCTAGTTCAGTTCTAGTTCAGTTCTAGTTCAGTTCTATTTCAGTTCCAGTTCAGTTCTAGTTCAGTTCTAGTTCAGTTCTAGTTCAGTTCTAGTTCAGTTCTAGTTCAGTTCAAGGTCAGTTCTAGTTCAGTTCTAGTTCAGTTCTAGTTCAGTTCTAGTTCAGTTCTAGTCAGTCTAGTTCAGTTCTAGTTCAGTTCTAGTTCAGTTCTAGTTCAGTTCTAGTTCAGTTCTAGTTCAGTTCTAGTTCAGTTCTAGTTCAGTTCTAGTTCAGTTCTAGTTCAGTTCTAGTTCAGTTCTAGTTCAGTTCTAGTTCAGTTCTAGTTCAGTTCTAGTTCAGTTCTAGTTCAGTTCTAGTTCAGTTCTAGTTCAGTTCTAGTTCAGTTCTAGTTCAGTTCTAGTTCAGTTCTAGTTCAGTTCTAGTTCAGTTCTAGTTCAGTTCTAGTTCAGTTCTAGTTCAGTTCTAGTTCAGTTCTAGTTCAGTTCTAGTTCAGTTCTAGTTCAGTTCTAGTTCAGTTCTAGTTCAGTTCTAGTTCAGTTCTAGTTCAGTTCTAGTTCTAGTTCAGTTCTAGTCAGTTTCTAGTTCAGTTCCAGTTCAGTTCTAGTTCAGTTCTAGTTCGTTCTAGTCAGTTCTAGTTCAGTTCTAGTTCAGTTCTAGTTCAGTTCTAGTTCAGTTCTAGTTCAGTTCTAGTTCAGTTCTAGTTCAGTTCTAGTTCAGTTTAGTTCAGTTCTAGTTCAGTTCTAGTTCAGTTCTAGTTCAGTTCTAGTTCAGTTCTAGTTCAGTTCTAGTTCAGTTCTAGTTCAGTTCTAGTTCAGTTCTAGTTCAGTTCTAGTTCAGTTCTAGTTCAGTTCTAGTTCAGTTCTAGTTCAGTTCTAGTTCAGTTCTAGTTCAGTTCTAGTTCAGTTCTAGTTCAATTCTAGTTCAGTTCTAGTTCAGTTCTAGTTCAGTTCTAGTTCAGTTCTAGTTCTAGTTCAGTTCTAGTTCAGTTCTAGTTAGTTCTAGTTCAGTTCTAGTTCAGTTCTAGTTCAGTTCTAGTTCAGTTCTAGTTCAGTTCTAGTTCAGTTCTAGTTCAGTTCTAGTTCAGTTCTAGTTCAGTTCTAGTTCAGTTCTAGTTCAGTTCTAGTTCTAGTTCAGTTCTAGTTCAGTTCTAGTTCAGTTCTAGTTCAGTTCTAGTTCAGTTCTAGTTCAGTTCTAGTTCTAGTTCAGTTCTAGTTCAGTTCTAGTTCAGTTCTAGTTCAGTTCTAGTTCAGTTCTAGTTCAGTTCTAGTTCAGTTCTAGTTCAGTTCTAGTTCAGTTCTAGTTCAGTTCTAGTTCAGTTCTAGTTCAGTTCTAGTTCAGTTCTAGTTCAGATCTAGTTCAGTTCTAGTTCAGTTCTAGTTCAGTTCTAGTTCAGTTCTAGTTCAGTTCTAGTTCAATTCTAGTTCAGTACTAGTTCAGTTAGTTCAGTTCTAGTTCAGTTCTAGTTCAGTTCAGTTCAGTTCTAGTTCAGTTCTAGTTCAGTTCTAGTTCAGTTCTAGTTCAGTTCTAGTTCAGTTCTAGTTCAGTTCTAGTTCAGTTCTAGTTCAGTTCTAGTTCAGTCTAGTTCAGTTCTAGTTCAGTTCTAGTTCAGTTCTAGTTCAGTTCTAGTTCAGTCTAGTTCAGTTCTAGTTCAGTTCTAGTTCAGTTCTAGTTTAGTTCTAGTTCAGTTCTAGTTCAGTCCTAGTTCAGTTCTAGTTCAGTTCTAGTTCAGTTCTAGTTCAGTTCTAGTTCAGTCCTAGTTTAGTTCTAGTTCAGTTCTAGTTCAGTTCTAGTTTATTTCTAGTTCAGTTCTAGTTCAGTTCTAGTTCAGTTCTAGTTCAGTTCTAGTTCAGTTCTAGTTCAGTTTTAGTTCAGTTCTAGTTCAGTTCTAGTACAGTTCTAGTTCATTTAGTTAGTTAGTTAGTTAGTTAGTAGTTAGTTAGTTAGTTAGTAGTAGTTAGTTAGTTAGTTAGTTAGTTAGTAGTAGTTAGTTAGTTAGTTAGTTAGTGTTAGTTAGTTAGTTAGTAGTAGTTAGTTAGTAGTTAGTTAGTTAGTAGTTAGTTAGTAGTTAGTTAGTTAGTTAGGTAGTTAGTTAGTTAGTTAGTTAGTTAGTAGTTAGTTAGTAGTTAGTTAGTTAGTTAGTTAGTTAGTTAGTTAGTTAGTTAGTAGTAGTTAGTTAGTTAGTTAGTAGTTAGTTAGTTAAGTTAGTTAGTTAGTTAGTTAGTTAGTTAGTTAGTAGTTAGTAGTTAGTTAGTTAGTAGTTAGTTAGTTAGTTAGTTAGTTAGTTAGTTAGTTAGTTAGTTAGTTAGTAGTTAGTTAGTTAGTTAGTTAGTTAGTTAGTAGTTAGTTAGTTAGTTAGTTAGTTAGTTAGTTAGTTAGTTAGTTAGTTAGTTAGTTAGTTAGTTAGTTAGTTAGTTAGTAGTTAGTTAGTTAGTTAGTTAGTTAGTTAGTTAGTTAGTAGTAGTTAGTTAGTTAGTTAGTAGTTAGTTAGTTAGTTAGTTAGTTAGTTAGTAGTTAGTTAGTTAGTTAGTTAGTTAGTTAGTTAGTTAGTTAGTTAGTTAGTAGTTAGAGTTAGTTAGTTAGTTAGTTAGTTAGTTAGTTAGTTAGTTAGTTAGTTAGTGTTAGTTAGTTAGTTAGTTAGTAGTTAGTTAGTTAGTTAGTTAGTTAGTTAGTAGTTAGTTAGTTAGTTAGTTAGTTAGTTAGTTAGTTAGTTAGTAGGTAGTAGTAGTTAGTTAGTTTTAGTTAGTTAGTTAGTTAGTTAGTTAGTTAGTTAGTTAGGTTAGTTAGTTAGTTAGTAGTTAGTAGTTAGTTAGTTAGTTAGTTAGTTAGTTAGTTAGTTAGTAGTTAGTTAGTTAGTTAGTTAGTTAGTTAGTTAGTTAGTAGTTAGTTAGTTAGTTAGTTAGTTAGTTAGTTAGTTAGTTAGTTAGTAGTTAGTTAGTTAGTAGTTAGTTAGTAGTTAGTTAGTAGTTAGTTAGTTAGTAGTAGTTAGTTAGTTAGTTAGTTAGTTAGTAGTAGTTAGTGTAGTTAGTTAGTTAGTTAGTTAGTTAGTTAGTTGTAGTTAGTTAGTTAGTTAGTTAGTTAGTTAGTTAGTTAGTTAGTTGTTAGTAGTTAGTTAGTTAGTTAGTTAGTAGTTAGTTAGTTAGTAGTTAGTTAGTTAGTTAGTTAGTAGTTAGTTAGTTAGTTAGTTAGTTAGTTAGTTAGTTAGTAGTTAGTTAGTTAGTTAGTTAGTTAGTTAGTTAGTTAGTTAGTTAGTAGTTAGTTAGTAGTTAGTTAGTTAGTTAGTTAGTTAGTTAGTTAGTTAGTAGTAGTTAGTTAGTTAGTTAGTAGTTAGTTAGTTAGTTAGTAGTTAGTAGTTAGTTAGTTAGTTAGTTAGTTAGTTAGTTAGTTAGTAGTTAGTTAGTAGTTAGTTAGTTAGTTAGTTAGTTAGTTAGTTAGTTAGTTAGTTAGTTAGTTAGTTAGTTAGTTAGTTAGTTAGTTAGTTAGTTAGTTAGTTAGTAGTTAGTTAGTTAGTTAGTTAGTTAGTTAGTTAGGTAGTAGTCGTTAGTTAGTTAGTTAGTTAGTTAGTTAGTTAGTTAGTTAGTTAGTTAGTTAGTTAGTTAGTTAGTTAGTTAGTTAGTTAGTAGTTAGTTAGTTGTTAGTTAGTAGTTAGTAGTTAGTAGTTAGTAGTTAGTTAGTTAGTAGTTAGTTAGTAGTTAGTTAGTTAGTTAGTTAGTTAGTTGTAGTTAGTTAGTAGTTAGTTAGTTAGTTGAGTTAGTTAGTTAGTTAGTTAGTGGATTATAATATGATCTCAAAAACCTTCATTGAATATATGTTTTATTTTTATAGTTTAACAAATTCATCCTTTAATAACTCTGTCCCTAAAAACCGCAAAAATGTGTCGATAAAAATACAAAAAACTAATCGCGGAAAACCCCCTATATTCAAACTTATGATTATTTAATACATATAACTTTTATTAATTACAGACAAATTGTTTGATTACTTTTTATTACAGGTTCAAGCCGGCTTGCTGATTTCATTATAACACAAATCTGTTTCTCTCCCCAAGCGATAATTGATTTTGTTAAAAATTGTCGTTCAAAAGCCATAAAAGTACCCATATTAGTTGGTATGTTTGTACCCGACAATTTACGTATGCTGCTGAGGCTTATTACGTTATTACCAAGATAAAATGCCTGCGGAATTGTTAGATAGAATATCGGAAACAAATGAATTGGGACATACAATTTTCAGAGATTATGCTGTAATAAAGCGGTGGAATGATAGAAACGATATTTGCCAGTGATGTAGATTGTTTATGGTTTGCCATTTTTTACCATGAATAAATTCAAGAATATACCAAAGGTTTGAGTGCTTTAGTGAAAATCAAAATTTAATAAAGAAAAGATGAGAAGAAAATCGAAACTTCCTAAAAGAGGGTTTTATTGTAAAATAATTAATTTAAAAATTATAAAAGTAATTTAAAAAAAAAAAAA